GAAAAACTTATGACAGCAACCTTCTTTAAATCTACATTGCTGTTCTTATTCCCCCAAGTCCATCACCTCTGGACTGCCCACTCCTCCTCCTGTTTGAGTCTTTTAAACTATTTTTCAGTGAGATCATTGAGGCCACTTCTAAGTAGCCTTTGGTGGCCTCTTGTTTGGAACGGCAGACCAGGAAGCACAGCCCGCATGGAAAAGGTGGCCCTGGAACGCCCTAGGAGTGAGGAGGCCACCGGCACGTTCCTGCCGGCCGGCCGGGACACTCCCGGGGCGCTGCTCCACGCGCTCCAGGGTTCCGCAGGTCTCTGAGGAGCACCAGGGCAGGGGTGGGGTGCGCGTGGCTGCTCCAAGCACCAGCAGGCCCTGGATGCGGACACTGACAGTGTGGGCTGTCGGCTTCACGGTGACGCCTGGCTGCACAGTAACCAGTGCCAGCTCAAAGGCAGCCCCCGGTGCGTCAGGCCCTAGGCGTGGGGAGGGGGCAGCAGGCTCGCCCTCTAAGACCCTCCTGGAGTCTTGTGTCTTATCTGGGCCCCAGACCCTGTGGAGACAGTGACAAGATGAAGAGCGGCCAGAACAGGCAAAGAACAAAAAACTGTTCTGCCGCACAGAAAAGGGCTGATGTCAGCCTGGCCAAGAGGAGACTCAGAGGGACGCCGTCGCCGTCACTGCACTTCAGAGGGGCTGTCCCGGGTCCCAGACAGGAGGCAGGACCTGCAGGGCCCCAGAGGGAAGAGCCAAGGTCAGCGGGGCCACTTCTGGGGACACAGACCTCAGCTCAGGATGAGGAAGAACATCCACCTTTCCGTGTGCCCCATCCAGAAATTCATCGGGCTTCTGGAGAGGGTAGTGAGTGTCTCATCACCAGAGTTGTGCAAAGAAAGATTCGACAAGTTTTTGGCAGGGATGCCACACTACGGGAAGGAGGCAAAAGAAGACACTTGAGTGCATCTGAGCCCAGAAGTTGTGTGATTACAAACCAGAATAGCGTGACCTCAGAAGACTTCCATTTGTTGCTTTGGGGTGTGAAAGACACACAACAGCTTTATGGTTGCAGTGAACTGGAGCGTCCTGCTCCCCTCGGAAACCCCGCACTGCTGCGGAGGAGGAAGCACTGACCGGGAAGAGGAGCTTGCCCCGGGAAAGGAGCCCTGCAGAAGGAAGAGGGTCGTGCACACGCCCCCGGCCCGCTGCTGCCCAGGGATCCCGTCCTCTAGTGAAGCAATCTGCCACCTTGTCGGGCTCCCGGTACGCTTACCTCTTTGAACGGCGACAGGCAGATGAAACAGACACGTCATTCCCGCGCGTGTTACCAAGGGAATGTGTCTCTGCTTCGTGGCCCTTGGTCTCAATGCTCTTGCTCGATGCTCAGAACCACTCACAAAGCACGTGACTCCAGCATGTCCCAAAGGAGGACCTGGGGCGTGGAATGAGCATGTGACCGCCCCGGGCCAGNCAGCATGTCCCAAAGGAGGACCTGGGGCGTGGAATGAGCATGTGACCGCCCTGGGCCAGACCCTCGCTCAGAGGCAAGGCAGGTGGCTGCCTTTAGCTACTGGCGAACTGTAAACCCTGAGATGCAGGAGGGCACGGGAGAGGGAGCCCCGGAGGCTTGTCCAGACAGCCGCCTTCCTTTGGGAGCTGGGACTCCCACAATTAGCCAGAGTTCCCAGGGAGGCTTATGGACAACAGAGGACCCTGGGGTCAAGTGCCAGCTCCTCGGGATTCTTACTGTGTGATCTTGGGTGAGTAAGTCTGTTCCTGGGCTCAAGATCTATGCAAAATAGCAATGAAGCTAAACTCCTAGCATGGTTAGGCAGACCTAAAGACACTTGAAAAGCATAAACTTGAGTGGTGTGCCCAGCAGCGGTGGAGAGAGGAGGTCTGTCCAGGATCCCAGTGCCCCAGCCTCCTGGTTTAGAGCATCTTTGCACCCTAGTTCTGTCACCTCCCTGTTCACACCAAGCTGGCCTTGACTTGATAGCAGGGTCTCCATGAAGCACCAGCCAGGTCGTGCCCTGAGCTCACAGCAGACCCCTGTGAGAGGGTGACAAGGCATGGGTGTGGCCAGGCCAGGGCTGAGCAGGGCCACTCAGCTGCCGTGAGGCCTGAACTTGAGAGGTCTGAAGGCTGGGCAGGCGAGAGGCCTCTCTGGCCAAGGGCTGAGCTGGGCAGTGCCTCCTGGAAGCTCCATTCACATCTGGGGCCACCGATCTTATCCCAGGCCAGGGACAGTTATGCACACATGAAGATCCTTTGGCCTGGGGGGTGCTGGCCGAGAGGTAGGATGTCGGAGGGAAGCAGGTATTCCCAGGCCAGGCTGAAATCACAGGTGAGCAAACTGCCTTGGGCCAGCTAAGGGCCAAGACCAAGTCCACTTTAGGGCAGGGTTTTCCATCCTTTTTCACACTGTGATACATGATCCTCGTGGGACCTAGGTGGCCCCGTCTGCTGTGGCTGGAGATGCCTGGCCCCAGGCCTGCACCCCGAGACATGAGGACACCGTCCTGGGACGTCTGTAATCCGTTACCGGCACGCCGGTAACAGGCATCACTACAGGGAGCTCTGGATTGGCATCTAAAGCGAAGGTTTGGGAGTTAGGCAGACCCAGGTTCAAGCCTCGGCTGTCAGTGGATGATGCCTGTGTAATCTTGAGCCCATGGTTCAGCCTCTCCGAGCCCTATCCAGCACCCCCTAAAATGGGGAGTGTACTGGGGTTCACTCTCGTGGTGACAGTTTAGAGGGAGTGGGACTTAGCCCAGAACCTGGCACGCTGCGAGTAGTGAGCACGAGTCAGCAGACAGGAAATATGAGTGGTGGCGGGGATGGGGGGCAGGTGGGGAGGAAGAAGTCCCGTCTACCACGAGGCCACAGCCTCCCCGCAGAGGCCGGAAGCACAGGGGCCTTGGAGGGGCAGGTGGGGAGGAAGAAGCCCCGTCTACCACGAGGCCACAGCCCCCCCGCAGAGGCCGGAAGCACAGGGGCCTTGGAGGGGCAGGCCTGGGGTGGGCAGGCCTGGGTTGAGCAGGCCTGGGAAGATTTCAGAGACGGAGGAGTGGGGTGAAGGAAGGGCAGCGAAGGGCCGGGAGGGAGATCATGGGACTGGGCCGTGGATGAGGCTGGGTGACGGGTCAGGGCTGGACAGATATGCCGGGTCTGATCTCAGAGGGTCACCATGCCGGTTCAGGCTCTGGGTGACTTTGCTGAGGTCTGAGGAGCCGCTGAAGCTCTCTGAACGTGGCATTAACCTTGTGTAGAAGACCACTCTGGAAGCAGCAGAGAGGAGGAGCTGGGGCGGGGCGAGGGAGGCGGAGACGGGGGAAGGCAAATGGCACAGGAGCATCAGGAGGTCCTGGGAAGCGGCCCAGGTCCTGGTCTGACCTGAGCAGACCCTGGGACGGCTCTCAGAGCCAGCGAACCCAGGAGGAACAGGAATGAAGGCGTAGGGAGCAAGTGGCGAGTTCCGGCTGGGAAAGGCTCGGGAGAAGGGGTGGGCGCTGGTCAGCAGGTGGAGGGCGTGAAAGCAGGGAGCTGAGCCAGGAAGGGCAAAGGACCACAGAACCCTGAGAGGACCTGGCCTGGAGATGAGAGTCAGGACTGACCCACGTCCCTGCCTCAGGCCACGAGGAGATCTGGGTCCACGGGGAGTCCTGCTCGGGGCAGGAGGTAGGGAATGTGGATGGGGTACAAGGGGCCTTTTGGAAAATTCCACTGGAGGCCAGAGAAAGGGGCCAGATCACCTGAGGAGCAGAAAGCAGGAAGGAGCTTTGGACCCGGCTGGGGCAGAGCAGCAGAGTGACCCACAGGAGAGATGCCTCAGGGAGCAGGAACTGTGCGTGGGGGGCGGGGGTTGCGGGAGGGTGTCCCGCCCTCACCCATCAGTCGGTGCCTCAGAGGAGCTGGTGGCTGCTGCCTCCCGGAGCTCTTGTTCATTCTCGGGGCCTAGGTTACAGCGTCGCAGAGCCTTACTGTCCCGCATCAGCGTCTAAGGGACACGGGGCTCCCTTCTCCTGCCTGCTCACCCCCGCCCCACTCCCCCACCCCTGGCCAAGGCCCAGACTCCCAGCTGTGGTGGGTCAGGCAGGTCCCAGGACCACAAGGAGGCAGGCTGTGCTCTCAGGGTGGAGGGCGTGCGGGCACACGTGGTCCTCATGCGCCCCCTGGGAAACATGGGGACCCCGCAGGCTAGAGCATGAGGGTCTCGGCGTCCCAGTCCTGCTGAACATGGGCGCACGCCAGATTCCAGGCCGCCAAGCCGGGCACTGTGCTTCCCGTCTGGTGTTGCCACTGCAGAACCACAAGTGTTGGCACCCGGAGGGGAAGGGCTTGCCTGCCCACAGTGGGCCTGCAGACCTTTCTGCTCAACACCGACCCCACACACACCAGGAGGTCATGGGAACGGCTCCCCCACGTTCCGCGTGTTCCAGGGCAGGCCGGGAAGAGCTGCCTCCACCTCCAAGGTGGGGACGCCTCGGGACATCCCAGGCCACCAGAGATGGCGGCTCTCTCCCTCCTCTCTGGTAGGCCCGGTCCAGCTCCTACCATCCAGAGGATGGATGCCATCCCTCTTCCACCCCACAGAACCCGGGACAAGTCTCAGGCCTTTCTGCCAGGTTCCTCAGCGTTCTTCTCACCAACCAAACATGTCCTGCGTTTAGTAGAGCTCCCTAAAGCTGTACAGCCTGTGTGGGAGGCACACGGCGGGTCAGCCACCTGCCTCCTCGGTCCTCTCGCCCAGAAACAAGCCAGTCTCTTTCTCGGCTCCCGCGGTGCATCTGGCCTCCTCTGAACACGTGGTACCCGTGGCGCTCACCTTCCCAGAGCCAGTGCTTTCCACCAAAGTCGCTGCTCCCTCAAAGGGAGTCCTCCTCCAGCTGCTAAGACAGCAGTGATTTCTCCAATGGTGAAGTCTGCCTGTCCTCACCCACATCCATTGCTTTCAAACACCTCTCTCTCCAGTTCTTTTACCAACTTAAGAAAGAACAGCTGTCACACTTGCTTCAGATATGCCCTTAGAATTATAAGCCCTTCGAAGCATTTGTTTGATTCTGTAAAAACACTGGAGCCGCGCTGGCCAGGATACGGGAGGGCGGAGATGGGCCCAGCTCAGGAGCAGTGATGCGCGCACAGACAGGTCCTGCGCCGCTGAGTCCTCATTTCCAAAAGAGGCCAGAAATCTGGGTGCTAGGTGGCATCACCTGAGGTTTAAACACTGACTATGAAATCTGACAATGTTAAATGCTGTCGAGGTGAAGTTCCACACACCCGCCGCCCTGCACACTGCCCGAGGGGCACGAGTGACCCTCTGCTCCCGGGTGGAGGAGGGCTCCCCAGCTGGGGCACCGCCGTGGCCTCTCTCCTGGGGAGCGCGGGGCCCCGTGGTGACTCTCTCCTGGGGAGTGCGGGGCCCACCCCGTCCCCAGCACTGGGTTATCATTTCCTCTGCAGAAGTGCCAGTGTGGGCCCTGGTCTCTCACTGCCCAGCACGTCCTGCCCCTGTGCCGGGAGGGCGCCGCGGACCATGAAGTCAGGCGGAGCAGCGGCACCATTACCCGCTGGCAGAGTGCCTTGGGGGAGCCCCCAACCCTATCAAGCACCGCTTGGCTTTGCGCTCAGCAGCAACACTTGGGAGTTCTGCTCTGAGCTTGCCCCAGAGGCCTCAGACAAAGGCCTACAGCGAGCAGGGCAGCCTTGCTGGCCTGTATCCGCAGGAGGGGGACCAGAACCCAGCCACAGACGCTGAGCTGCCCCCACTTGCTCTGCAGGACAGAGGTCTGGCTTGGCTTTGCCTCTGACTTGCTCTGTCACCATAAGCAAGTCTCTTATCTTCTTTGAGCCTCCGTGTCCTCACCTGTAACATGGGTATAAAATTCCTGGCTCCTGAGGTCAAAAATCAAAGAGAGACCTTAATATGAACGTGTGTATGAGCTGTGACGGGCTAGAAATGTTAGGACCTATAATCGCACTTGTCAGGCTTAACTTCCCCCAAGATAATTCTCACCTCAGCTATGACCCTTACACAACCACAGAACTTCCTGCTAGATCCCAAGGTCAAACTCAGGATGCCTCTCTGAACAGGACCAGGCAGGGATTCGAATGCTGAGCCCAGCCCCTTGCCCTCCCCAGCCAGGCCCGAGCCACCTCCCCCACTTCATCTCCCCTCCACACAGCGGGACTGCAGGCAGTAGGGCCAGGGAGGACAGGGTGAGCCACTCTGGGCCCCGGCATGCCTGAGCAAGGGTGCCCGGTACCAGCAGGCTGGGTGAGTCTAAAAGCCAGGGGCTGGCCTGGCCACGACTGGCGCCTGGGAACGGTACATTCCAGTGAATCCTGGCTGGGGGGCAGCCCCCAAGGCTGTGCAGCAAAGGGCAGGGGACCAGGGTCAGGACACCTGCACCTGTGTCTCCAGTCAGTCACCCCCCCGCCAGGAGTCCTTTTCTGGGCCTGTTTCCCTGTCTGTAAAAAGAAGAATCGGACTAGAAAATAATCCCTTGAGTGTTTTAAAAGTGAGGAAGCCTGGGGAGGGAGATTCTGGCTGCCATGGTGACCAGAGGATGTTCCTGGCATGCAGTGCCGAGAGACCAGAGCTTCTGAGTGCCCTGCACTGAACAGGACAGTCCCTCCCGACAAAGAATCACGTGGAAATAATTGCCGGAAGTGCCCCCAGAGAGAAACCCTTGAGGGTGATCTCACAGGTCCCTTCTGGATCTGGGATTCTGAAAAAAAATCCACCTAAACTCATGATCAAACAGTCTAAAAAGAAAATCTTACCTTGAAGTGACAGCTCAGAGCTTTGCTGCCTCGGAGACGTGGGGCTGCTGCTGCTGAGATAAGCAGCCGGCCCCGGAGAAGTCTGGAAGTTTCCTCCTGGCTCCAGCGCTCTGTGGCTCTCTGCAGTGGGAGATAATGATGATGGTTTACACATAAGGAGCAGGCTTTCCAGTTTCAAAAGCCTGCTAAACATGCTAGTTACCACTTTTGATCACTGTGCCAAACCTGGGAGGTTGCAGATGAGGAAATCACGGCTCAGAAAGGCTTAGAGACGTGCTCATGGTCACACAGCTGGCGAGGGAGGGACTTGGGATCTGAGCCCAGTGGCCCATCTCCCTGCCTTGGCTTCCTTGGTGGGACCCCCGCCCCACCCCACACTCTTCCCCTAAAAGAGGCAGTGCTGACTCACATGCCTTCCCAGGACAAGAGAAGCATCTCAAGACTGAAATGCAGCCCAGAAACATCAGACATGCTCCCACCCCTCCCTGCCACACACACTCAAACTCACATTTATACACACACGTCCAGGAGAGAAACCTACCAATTTTACCATGTATTTCAAAAATCAGCTTTGAAATTAAAATTTTAAAAAGAGACCAAAAGCCAGCTTCTGGGAGCTGGTCAAAAGGTGGAAAGAACCCCCTCCTTTAAAGAAGCTCTAGCCAGGTGGGACTTAGGAAGCTGAGCTACCTACATCAGAGGCAGCCTGAAAGGTCTGAGATCGTAGCCAAGGGCTCCACAATCACAGGGGACGCACATGGCGCCCTCCATGCCCCCACCAGGCTCCTCACCGCCCCCCACCCGGGGTCTGAACACGCAGACGTGTGATGACACAATCACAGGGGACGCACATGGCGCCCTCCATGCCCCCACCAGGCTCCTCACCGCCCCCCACCCGGGGTCTGAACACGCAGACGTGTGATGACACAATCACAGGGGACGCACATGGC